AGTTGAGAGGGTGGTTTCAAGCCAGTGGTTTCTATATAATCAATCTTCCTCAATTGTTCTTTGATGCGGAATTTCATATTTTCATCAGCTTTCAAAAATCTCTCTTGTATCACTTCTCATTCAGTTAAGATAGAGATATTCAATTTACCGTCTTTCATGACACCATCATCATTAAACCTAAGTCTTTTCTAGTGACTGCAAACTTCATCCTTTCTTAGCAGGCTACCAAGTTTCACTTTTTTTTGCTTTAAGACAAGCATATGGGAGACCATATGTTTTCACAATTGTGCGACCACACTTTTCGCTATCGGAGCTTACACTATCAACTTGTTTAGCTTCATGAAGAATATAATCCAAACTTGCTTGAGATATGTTTCTAACCAACTTAGAATAAAGATTGTTGTCTTTAAATCTGTGTTCCAAAACTGTGATTCTCTGACCAAATGATGTATGTATCTCATTATGTTGGTTATAGATCATTTGGTTCACAAAGTCTCAATCTCTACACAAATCGTCCTTACTATTTCTCAACCAATTATACAATGTAGCATGGGCAGACTCAACTCGGTTTGTTATTGTATTCCCAAGGTGTTTAACTTGATCAATCCATGCACAAACAATTTTCTGATTCACCTGGTCAAGAATTATGCTTTCAAAATATTTCAACAAAGCTGAATATCTCTCGCACACTATCCTAAAATGTATAACATAATCTACATACAACTCTTTAGTAGGAGAGTTTACTATAACCTCCCATGCATTCATTATTTTTTTTCACTATCACACCCGCCTTCACAATTTTTCCATCTTCGACCTTTATCAGTTTCGTTCCTACCATAGGTTTAACCCGACTTCTCACATTCTTTGTTATGTGACACCTACAAAGTAATGCATAAGAAGTAGGAAATACCTTTGCAACTGAATTCATCAAAGCAATATCGCAGTCAATAACAATTACTTTCAACATTTCTTCTTGGTCCTTCAACATTGCCTAACACACCTCTAAGGCTCAAGTAACAATCTCCTTTTTTTCACTCTCTAGAAATGCAAAACCAACAAAATAGGTATTCTCAGTAGAGGTAACATCAACCATCTCCAATAGCGGAAGTTTATACCTAATGGTCTTATACGTTCAATCAATGATGAGTACAGTAGAAAACGTGTTGAGCAATTTGATGGAATGAGGATGAGTTCAAAATATATCTCTAACAGTTACACCATCCTCACACGTTCGACCCTGAAAACATAACTGTTATCATCCAAAAGTTTTAATAGTTGTTGCATTTCACTTTTATACCCCATTAATGTCTTATTATTTTGGTACCGAATATTGTACACTTGCTTGATATTTAAGACATTTTTGGGTCTTTTACGTTTTAAAGTTGCCTGTATGTTTTTCAATTGAACCAAATTCAATGTCATGTCTGAAACACATTCATTCTCTTCCGGCATGAGGCGAACACAATTGGATGACCGACAAACTTTTTACACAAGTCATGGTTATGTAAACCACATATGATATTAAATCTCCATTTTTTTTTTGCCAACATATAACCACACAACATAAAAGGACACTCACATTTTCTTAAACCGGTGTCATCTCGTTTAAAATTCTAGAGACGTGGTTTATATTTCCCACTTCTTCTGCATGTCATTGTCACATATGCACCTCTTCTATTCGAACCATTATCGGACCTTCTGATTACCACACCAAATTCCAATTTAGAGGCCTCCGTACGAATTCGTTGAAGCATGTAATCACGAAATTCAAACTCTTGCTCATTTTTAAATTGGTTGCCAACATCTACGTCCTTCACAACAACACCTTTGACATCCGAAGACACAACATGTTTGGGAAAAATATCAGAGTACACCACATCTAATGAAAACAAATAATAAAACACTAAAAAACTGCTAATACTGTAAACAAAGCTCAAAAAATAATAACAGACAATCTTAATGTGAGCAATGAGGCTTGATATAAATGATCTTTCCTTGGAATTTCAATTTCTTTTGCTTCCTTTAATATGATGAAACACAAGAATGAAGATTTGAGTGAAAATGTTGATCCAGAATGAAATGGTTTTTGAAATGGGTTTTGAGTGAAAAACAAGTATGAGTCTTTGATCATGCAGGTGAATGTTTTTATCAACTTATTCGAAAATGCATCTCCGGATATATCTGAAATGTTAAGGTGACTGAAATTTTAAAATCTCGTCTTAAAACTCTATAGATATATCTCCAAAATAACCAATAGACTATTATGATATCAATATATTTGTTAGAAATACTTAGAGATTTAAGAATAATTTTTTGTTTTAATCTAAAGTGACATTCAGTTAGTGGTGCATAGGGCTGGCAATGAACCGAACCAATTCGAAAATAGTTCGGAATTCGATTCGACAATTAAATCGTTGAACTAGGTTCATGAACCAAATGAGTTGAGTATTAGCGAAAAATTAAGTTCGTTAACCAAATGAGCTGAACTTGAACTATACATAGTTTGACTCGTTAGGTTCATGAGTCAACTCGATTACATATGAGATGAATTATATTGTCTTTAAGATTAGGTTTAAATATTTACTCCAAATCTTAGACAAATTTAATCTTCAATTTAGTAGTTTTTGAATTAGACTCTTAAATGTATCTCTTGAAAGTTGTGTAGGTTTTGAATTAGTAGATTTCGAAGATTACAGGTTCTATTTTTCGCCTGGTTCAGGAGAGGTTTCGGAGATATATCTTCGGAATAAGATAATAGAGTGGTACCGAAAACGTATCTCTAAAACCAGCATTGATACATGATAGAATTTTTTAGGTCCAGGTTTGCCTACAACCTCTATAAATTTAGGCTCTTGTTTTTTATTTCATACAAAAGAAAATGTCACAAATAAACATCATCTAGTATGTCGCAGATGTCTCCTTCTCCAGCACGACACCCGAACAAAAGTTTAAGATCAATGAGTACACCTTTTTTGTCGATTTGCAATGTGAAGTGCATAATCTCCTACCTTACAAGGATAATCAAAAAATTGTGAAACTCGAATACCGTTCACCGTCAATTAACAATGATGATAAGAGTGAGTTCAACAACTATGAGTTCAAGACAAATGCATTATATAATGGATATGTGGAATACATTTTTCCGTTTCAAAACAAATTGATCGAGTTGGAAGTGACAATTTCAAAATCCAATCACATATATTGTTAAGATATTGAAGTGTTTACATGAATAATAAAATGTAATGTCTGATTATATGTTAACATTATCTATATAATATTTATTTTATATTATAAATGATAATTTTATTTTATTAAAATATAACTTTCTGAAACTTCTACTTCTATTTTAATAAGCTACAGAGATACATCTATGCATCTCTCAAATCATTTTAGTATTTTCAAATTAGTGTTCTAATAATATATAGGATATATTAAGAAAACTCCATACTTACAATCCTCATTGTATAGAATCACACACTTCATAATAAAATTCAATTATAAAAATGTTTGGGCAAAACTCTTCGGTCAATATCCCGATATGGGTTACGAGGAAAATTTTCTCCCAAAATTACTTTTTTTTGGACAAAATATTTTTGGCAAGTTGTTTTGTTTTGAGCATTAGTTGTAATTAGAATTAGTTTATGAATCAAAATGTATGATGATTTATCTTTATAGACTCGTACTGAAAGTATTTTTGTCAAAGGATGATTTTACATCAATATTTCAAAACTCGGGAGCTGCATATCTCATATCAAGCCTGAAAGATAAATCACATCTAGCAAACATGCAATCACCACACACAATGAATTCGATTTGTATCCTACAAATTTGGTCTGAATGAGAGCACTCAGAAACAACAGCTGCCATGAAAAGGCTATAACCTCATAAGGGGCCAATATCTTGCATTTCTATCTAAAAGAATGTTTATCACTATTGCTAGAAATTATAATGACGGTGTTGAATTTGAGTTTCCCCTTGACAAAGTTCTATTGAACAGATAACCAAAATGGTTGCAAAAACCCAAACATAATGCACATCAACAATAGAAAGGTTTATACATTTTCACAAACCTATGCCTTAAATTCAAGAAACTTCTAACTAAAACGTGTTCCAAGAAATTACGTCAAAACATATGCTGTACAATTAGGCCTTCTGTGTTGTGAATAATTTAAAGAGCTGGAATCATTATTCTCTGATAAAATTTGATAAAAAACTTGAAGAAGTAAATTCATAAACGAGGCCCCAAAATGTAAATCTCAGCTCCATGATTGAAGATCTGCATCAAAAAGTTATTACGAGAAATCTAGAAAATCAACATACTTTTCCAAAAGTGCAGCACACATTTTTAACCAACAACATAATCAATAAAAAATTTTGAAATGCTACAATAGCAGACGAGGCCACAAATGTTACTTCTAAATAGCAGACATAGGTCATGACAAAAAGAGCACTGTGACAATGCAATACTAGGAAAGGCTTTACCTCTACAACCACATCCATGTCGAATCAAATAATGAATAATTTCCTCTAATTAATGTAAGCTACCATCAGAAACAAGGTAGTTTATTTTCCAGCAGCAATAGAAGTGAAACTACCTGAGGCTAAGAAACATATAAATGATATTTACTACACCCTAAGTATGAGAGTTTATCATTTCAAACAGCCTCGTTGGACATTATCATTGTTGAAAAGTTTGAAACTATTATCTTCTGTTGAATCAACATAATGTACCGAACTCTAGCATAGATCCACTTCTATTTCTATTGGTGCTTAGTCCCTCGGAGAAAGAAGGGTCCTTAATTTTCTTTCTTTAAAATACCACCCCACCCTGTCATCCTTTCTTTCCATACACTTGAATACAATTTCATCATTAGGAGTCAGGACAGATGTAAAGATAGTTCAGGACAATAAGTACATAAAAAACGCAGAATATCATGATGATGAGATGGCTATAAATATAAAATTCTCAGATGTGGGAGGCTAAAACATTCTTACCTATATCAGCTTGATTTCACATGAACTTCAATCATATCACTGTCTTCCATTCCAAGGCTAGCAGGGGTTTCAGATGAACTTATTTTATCACCATCAAATAACAATACAATTTGTTTCATATCACACTTCATTTTCTCTGCATATGTTTTACTAATCCTTTCAAACTTGTCATCCTACAGAGAATTAAAATATGAGAGTAAGACATCGAGCTAGATAATGTGACAAATACAATCAATCAGTATGACCTATGCTAAAGAAATGCATCTCTCTGATAAGGAAAAGATAAAGGCAGATCAGAAACACAGCCCCTATAACATTTCAAACAAACTACAACTAGTTTTGACCCGCATACAAATATAAACAACACCATAATATATTAAGTATATCGACAACATAAAGTATATCTATTGAAGGAATTAGTACCATGAACATACGAATCTGCTTTGTTTCATCCTTGTCTTGAACAGAGATGAGGATCTTTGCCCGCTCAGAAGGTTTTGATGTTTTTTCACTTGCATCGTCCGTGGATGTCTGCAATGAATCAAAATTTTCCATTTCTACAGACTCAACAGTTTTTAACAATTCTTTTGCTGATTCAGCAAAAGAGGCAAGCTCTTTCTTCTTCAATCTATACAAATGATGAACACCTTATAAGAAACTATATGGTAATTGGTAAATAAAGAATATAAATAAGCACATCAGCATAAAGAGCATAACTTCAACTATTAGCATCGTTCCAAACCAAGAATAGCCTTAATTAGTTATAAAAGACTAAAATAACCTTATTCACCAATGCACACTTTTCCAGATAAGAGCATGTACGTATTAACATCCAATATGAGCATTTTTTTATTAATATTATTATCACATCTCTGTGTAGTGACATTTTAAAACCAGGCCAAAGCAGCTGGTTGAAACGAGAATCAGTCAGTTTGCCGATTTGTTTGATTTCGGTTATATTGCACTCATTGAACTGGAGTTGAACCGCAGTTGGTTTAACTGTATTATTTTATTGTTACTTATTTGTTATCCAGTCCAACTGTGGTCTGATTGGTCCAAATAAATCATGACCCGGAGATCTCACTGGTTTGATCTCCAGTTCATTTTTAAAACCATTGCTATGTAGTATGTACTAATATATATAAGTAGGGTAATTACATCATTTACAAATATAGCATTTTCTTTTCTATCACTTTCTACCCAACTAAACAATAAGACAGAAAGGGTATTAACTTTCCATCATCCTATTTTTACTTTGGTTCCTCTAGCTTTGTTTCTGAATGCACACAACATCTAAAAGTGGTAAAAAAACAAACAACACAATAGCAAGAAGCAAGAATTTGGCAGCTGAAAAATTCTATTAAGAGTAAAATGATGTCAACCTCAAATTCTTTAAAGTCGAATCCTGCTCATCAATCTTCATCTCAGCCATCCTTGTGACCTTTGGCGGAGAAGGTAACCAATCGTCATCCTCAACGTCCACCACACTCACTGGCACAGCTTCCACATTAGTCTTCCCATTCTCAACCTGAACCCCAAAACATTTTCAAAATTAACAAAAATTAACAAAGATAAACAAAAATAATTAACCATCCCTGTGCAGAAAAAAAAAATTTACTCACTTCTTGCTGAGAATTCTTTTTTCTCTTCTTACCAACACAAACGACATCGTCGTCGTCATCATCTGCAACAGTTCGTCAACAATATTAGAGCAAAAACAAAAAGATTTAACATTTGGAGTTTCAATTTGAATAAAATTGGATTTTTCAGTGAAGGAGATGATGCATATGAAAAGAAGCTAACCATCATCAAGACAAACGATGTTGGGTTGAACGCGAGTGTAATCAAACAAGGGTTCGAGTTCTTCGTTTTCGTCCTGAAAAGGGGATAAAAAGTTTTAAGATTCAAGATTTGAAATTGAAATTGAAAGAGAAACCCTAATCATTTGAAATTGAGTACGAGAGGCTTACCGCCATTATCGACCTAGCTGGATGTTGATTGAGGTTTCACAATCACACGTCACTCTCCCGCTTCCAAATTGAAATCGATTTATCTTCTCCTCCTTTTAAAGGATACAGGGTACATTGAATTAAAATTTATAAGGTTTGAATATATTTTATAGATATATGATATTTTGCTCTTTACAGTTCTTTGAGAACAAAGAGGAAAGATATAAAATACTTTAAATAAATATTTTAAAAAATATATATTACAATAAATTATCAAGTGTACAATTTTTAATATTTTTTTACAAGATATTTTTGTTAAAATTCAAATTATTTTTATAAAATAAAATTTTACTTATTAAAAATTATATCAACTTTATTATTTTGTGTATGTTTGGTTTTATGTTTGAGGTATTCATAATTAACTTTTGAATGTGTAGAAATAAATCTGAAATATTTGACTGCTCTAGAGGATAATTGATTATATTTTTTAGATTTGATTTTATTTGAAGTTAAAATTTATAATTTTTAAATTAAAATGTGATTTTTATTTTGAAATATATTATTCAATTCACTTTTGCTGAAAATTTATCCAAAATATAAATTATTTTATCTTTAATTCATTTTTATACAAAATTAACTTTTTGTTGCATAACCAAACTAACGTTTTTTCAGCTTTATCAATCTAAATTTCAATGATGCATAGCTGACTTTATCAAAATCATTTTTCGTTTTGAGGATAGTTTTTTTTGCACTTTATATACAATATGTTTATATTCATTTCTTTCGTGTTTTAACATAATCATCTCATGTTTTTCGATGACAATGGTGAAATCAACAAAGATAATTTACAAGACACATTTACGTAACACATCAAGTCACAACACACTTCTTATTTGTAAGTATTAAGTGCAAATTTTGACTTAAATTGAATCATCTTTCTTGATATTTTTCAACTCAATTCTCATGTTTTAATAGATGTATTTCTTATTCTTGTGTGATTTCTCAATTATATTGCAAATACCTTTGAATTATTTGATGTGTGTGTTATAGTGCAGAATTTAGGCATAAAACATCAATGATTAAAACACAAGTGAAATGGATAAGGAAGACAAAGAAGTGAAGAATAACTAGGAAGTTCGTTGTGCGAACAAGAAACGAACGTTCGCTGTGCAAAGTTGTAGCGAAGGACCAGCGAACCATCCCAGACTGAAGTCAGTAGCTAAATGACCCTAAGTTCGATGTGCGAACTTGTAACGAGGTAGTTCGTAGTGCGAAGAATTGCTTGCACAATGAATTTCATATATTTCTCAAAGGCGGTTTAACTATTCAGAGGCACTTCAGGTGCCTAAATGTGTGTTCGTTGGGCGAAGAAAGGGTCTGCAGTGCGAACATGGCAGATTTTGTAAATACTATTTAAGTATTTTTCTTTCTTTTTTTAGAGATAACTTGTACTTTTTGGATCATAACTTTATCTCTCTTCATTTCAAGCATATTTTAGAGAGAGAAATACAAACCCTGAGAGGGAGAAGGTAAGATCTTTGATCTCTTGTTGGGTTTAGATGTAATATTTTGATACCTTATGTATTTTATCTAATTTATGTATTGTGAACTAGTTTTGATTCTCTATTTTTTATTGTCTTTGATTTCTTATTTGTGGGTCTTGACAACACCTTTTTTAAATCTTTGATCTAAGATTTTCATCTATCAATGAGCAAACTTTTGACATGGTTTTGTGAGTTGATATTCATTTGCATCACATATATTTTATTGCGTTGATTAAGTAGCATGAGTAGCATGAGCAGGATAAATACCGTAAAGACCGTGATAACGCTTGACAAACGGTATTGCGAGGATGCGTGATAATAAGGATGAAGAACGATGTTCACGTACATTTGGCAGATTAGGTGAATACATGTAAAAACGGTTAATCATGTGTACGTATTCTGATCATGGCGTTGTATATGAATCAAATCATTAATTTGATATGGATGTTATAGTAATATATGTTGGGTCTAAACTCTAGACATGAATTTAGGTTTAACATTCACATGAGTATCAGTTCTTAATGCTTTGTGTTGATTTTGTTGCGTAAGATATCATCGATGAGACAATACGGTTGGCCTCTCGACTTTGCATTAGACATAACCTCTGTTGTGTGTGTTACGTGATGATATTAAACGAAAGTTTGAGTTGTGTATAACATAATTAGAAGAATGCATGTGTTATCAATTAATGAGATCCAATCTCAACAAGACTCCGTTTATATTTCAGTCTTTATTTTATATTTTTTGTCTTTATAATTTCTGCTTTATTTATGGTTCCTTTAACTTTTTAACCAAAATATTTGCACAACAAGCTTAGAAATATAGAGTCTGTTGAACGACGTTCTTTCCCTCACACTGATCCCTGTGGAGACGATATAAATCTCGGAGGGAGTCCTTCCAAATCTAAATTTTTGTTTCTTGTTGTTATGTTGCAGTTTGAACAGTAAACAACAATGATGAAAATAGACCTTTCTAGTTTGTGTTATATCAAGACCTAATCCAACAAAATATAAGCCGACAAAGAATAAGTTTTCAGCAAGAGATGACTTCTAAAACGTGAAATCGACAAAGATTTTTCTCTTGAGTAAATAATTCTTTCTTAGGAAGTAAATATTCTGGTTGGAAGCTAAACCATTTAAAAGCTCTAATTTGTAATTTGGGGATTGGTCTTAGTCTCCGTTTGGTTCATGAAGATCATTAAGTAAAAATCTCTATAAGGGTTATTGAGCTCATTCCCATTAAAATCTCTATCAGTTTGAGATCATCCTGGTGTAAAATCTCACTTGACTTATGAGTCCAACTCGATATAAAAACTCAGTAGGTTCAAGCTCTTCCTGGTATAAATATCGGTTTGGTTCAGAGGATAACTAACTTAAAACTCCATCGAGGTTCATGGTCAACCTGTACAAAACCCCGATTCAATTTGAAAGATATCCAACTTAAAGCTCTATCTTGGTTTGAGATTAGCTTGTGCGAAATCTCCATGTGAAGATTAACTGCTTTAAGTTGTGTTCATTGTTTGGTTAGACTTTCTTTTTAGAAGGAGGTTTGTTGGTCTAACCTTCTAAAAGCTCTCAAGCATAGCAGATACTATCAAGATCAGTTTTTGGAGATAGGATTAGATCTTTTTGGATGACCCTATATAATTCTTTAGTGTTATTTATCTTTTCTCGAGAAAAAGAGAAAGTTTAAAACTAATTTTAAAACTAAAAACTTTTTAGTCATGTCTTTAAATGAAATTCAATTTATTTATGATTTAAATTGTAATTTTGTCAAAAAAATGTGGGACACTCTTGAAATTATATATGGAGTTTCTCCAAGCATTTAACAAGAGGGAATGAACATACGATGAGAAGAAGATGAATGCTTATTTCACAAAAAAATTTCAACCTTTAGAAATTTTGGAAATAATATTAGAACATTTGTCACTAATAAATATCTTAAAATTAAGAATTGGAATCAGAAACATGATCCAATCTTTAAATCAAAAGATGTGAATGTTTACGATTTTTAGGAAAAATCCAAGAAGGAAGAAGTCATCGAGAAATTAAATGAGTTGATTAAATTGTTAAAAGATGAATGGATGATCTCAAACCTAGAATAATCTCTAGTAATTTCACAAATGAACTCTTTTCAAAAAGAAGAAGAAAATCAACTCCAATAATCCCTTCAAAAAACAATCTCGGTGGTTGAACGATCCTCGGAAGATTCAACGTCCAATAGAGACACTTCATCAAAGAGAGAATACGAAGAAGAATAAGTTTCATCCACCGGAATCTTTGAAATGATAAAGGAGAAAGATGTCTCAATAAGCAATATATTTATAGAGTCAACATCAAGGATAAATCTCAAACAATCAACCTCTTGTAGAACCTTCAAAGAATCTTCTTCCAACAAAGAAGAAAAACAAGTTTGCTTGAAAGTATCTTATGACGAATATGATTATGGGCTAACAAATTTGTAGTTCCTTTTGGTTTCTTGCATTAGGTAAAACAACATATATATATACAATATGTATTTTAGGTAACATGTGGAACAAAACGTGCCAACATGTGTTCCAGCATCTGAGTTTTTTGTTAAGAAGAGTTGCTCAACTAAAGTGTTTGACAAAACTAGTTAATCAAAAGTTATTCACCTAGAGTGCTTGACATAACTAATTAAGCAAGAGGTTTCAAGATGCAGCTAAAGTGCTTGATATAACTAGTTAAGCAAAAGGTTCAACATGTGAGTATATGTCATCTTGGCATAAGGTTTGGGTTCTTAATATCTTCAAAATTCCTTCAGAAGAGTTGTGGTATTGGCTTCTTCAGAAGATGCAAATGTTTTCTTTTGGGAAAAGTTTGTGTTGTTAACTCAAAATCTATTTGAAAAGGATTTAGATTTGTTTCAGTCAAAGAAGATTTGATTGGATGTACCTTTAAAGAATATTTGGTCCAAGATTTACTCTACAAAAAAGACTTATAATAAGATAGTTATTTTGGATGTTTTGGTGTAACATGTGGAACGCGATGTTTTAACATGTGTCCTGCAACATTTGGTCTCTGTCAACAAATAAATGTTACTACAATTATGGTGAAAAAAGGTTTGCTACAACATCTGGTCTCTGTCTACAGACATATGTTATTGCAGTTACAGTGAAAAAAGGACACATGTGGAACACGATGCTCCAACATGTGTGCAACATTTGTCCCTGACTCAACAGACCATTGTTGATGCGTTTTTGGAGCAAAATTCTGGTTAAGATTCAATCAAATTTGTTGCTATATTTTAGAAATGTGTTTATGTGATTTGGTTGACAATTGTGAAGATCAAATTATATTTAAATGGAAATTTAAATTAATAACAAAGCATTTTTTGTTAGAGATTTTTATGGAGCAAATCAAATCCAACAATATCTGCTATTATTTTGGAAAAAATTAAATCAGAAATCCAAAGGAGAAAATTCCAGAATTTCATTGCTATTTAAGGAGACTCAAACCTCCC